GAAGAACAGTGGAAAGGAAAGGAGAGGTGAGATGGTGCTGACAGCTATTATCATAACAGTGATGTAACATATCCTGAACAGGTATATACATGTACTTTCAGAGAAAATAGAGGACTCTATGGCAAAGAAAGTAAGGTTCCCATTTGTTACTGTTGAAGTCACTCCTCTTAAGGCAGAGAAGGAGTATGAACACAACAACCTATCCACATGGAAAAGGCAGACAAGGAGAAATAAAATATCCTTAGCAGCCAAAAGCGACGCCTATTCCCAAATGCTCCAAGAACTTTTTTTTTTTCTTCTTGATTTTCTTTTTTTTTTCTGGATTATTTATTTGCATTTTTTAGTATTTCGTTGCAGTCCCAAGTGTTTTGCTGACAGATTATCTAGTATCTGAAGAACGCTGCTCCCTAACTCTTGCATGCCCATAAGCTGTTCACATTACTGCCTGGAGTGTTCCTCTGACCCTTGCACCACCATACTTTGTGTCAAGTCAAATTGCATTTCATACACATGAAAGTCTTCCAGGTCTGTGATCCCAGTGTGTCCCAGTGTTGCTGTCTTATCCCTAGCAGTCCCCTCACTTGGAAAGGGCCACTTTCCACATTACCAAGTGTTAAACCTTTGTATAAAAAAGGTCTCACCAGTGGAGAAACTTTCCTTTGCTACCCTCCACCCTACTGCAAGTCCACAGTAATTTCTGGCTCAAAGGCTGTAGATCATGCCTTACATCCTTCAGAAATGTATATGCTTTCCCTCAACCCAGGAGGTCTCCTTTCCCCCAAATCTAATCTCCATGTAGGTGGTTTTCCATCCCTTACTGACTCCAATGCACTCCAATGAACTCCTTCATGGGTTAGGAGCATCCTATCCAAAGAATCTGCACATGAAAGCTACCAGCAACTGAACTGATCCAGACAGGGCAGAAGTTGCTGGTCTTAGGCCTTCCAACAGCCTTTGGAAAGGTTATCAACATGTCTAGCTAAGGAAAAAACAAGGATTGCTTTGGTTCTCTTACTAAACCAATTCTAATGACTTGTGGCAGAAACCAGAACAAGTACATGGCATGCATGTTAGCCAGGAGACTGGACATCATCACAACCACCTGCAAGAAAGATGTGGCTGTGATGATGAGAAAGAACAGACTCTGTCCTGGACTAAATAAAGTACCCTAGGACATTCAAAGAGTGGGGCCAGGTGACAAACACAGCTGCTGTTGAGATCATAAGCACTGCCATAAACTCAAGAGGAGGTCAGTAATAGCCATAAGGAACATCAGTAATTCCTCCTCCCTCAGAAGGTCTTTCTACCTCAGACTTAGCTTTTCTGCCCCCTTCATATCCTCTCCTCAACACCTCCACACCAGATAAACAGCTACTCAATTCTTGGCAGCTGCTAAGGAACTATTCCCAAAAAGCAGGCATTGCCTGCTGCAGACAGTGTATGAGATTCTTGCTACAACTCGATCCTGGACAAGAACTCAGGCAGTGCCCCTCTTCCACACCTGCAGTTCAAATGATCTCTGGCAATAGCTGCCACGTCCAGTTTTGTTCAAGATCTGGTTTTCTTTTGCGCTTGTTTTTCGGTGACTTCCTGTGCTCTTGATTTGTTTCCAGCTGAGAGCTTTATCTGGGAGCTTTTCATAGCAGGGCTGGATGGCATCAGAGATATTAAGGGTTGAAATCTCAAACATTTCAAAGCCTGGGGCAAAGAGCTGCAGTGGATGGGACAGCACAGCTGGGATTTCAAAGACAGCAGGGCCTGGCTCCAAGAATGGGATACAAAGGGCTTCAGGGGGAATCAGCAACTGGGAACAGGAAAGTCAGAGAAAAGCTGATTTACTGCTCATGTCCAACATATGCATGATGTCAAGTTACAGCAAACAGCTGTCAACCACTCAGCAGAAAAACAATTAGTCAGGTTGTCCCTGACAGTGTGACCCTCCCCGTTTTCACAGGAAAGGAACAAGCTGCAGCTGGAGGAGGGACTGGTGGTACTTCCACTTGTTACACCCTTACCCTGCCACCATCTGCTCTAATAGCTCTCTTTTGAGTTTCTGTGAAGGAAGCAGCTTGCAGGCTGGAGCCTGGCTTGGAAGGGCAGTTCAGGAACCATCCAGCTTCCTCTTAGACACGTGCAGAGCCACTCTGAAGCCTAAGGGGTAACGCAACAGGTTGTGGCGAGAACTAGGTTGCTGCTAAATGCAAGAAGGGGTAAGTGGGCTCATTCACTGGTAAGGTGATTTGGCAACTCCATTGATCTAAAAGGGTTCAGCAGCAGGCTTGTACTTTGCATGCCTACACACCATCAGATGGGCAGGAGATATGGAAGACGTGAGTGTCACATGCTTTGGCAAGCCAGCCAGGCCGAGCTGACAGCAGCAAAGTATCTGCAACAACCCATGACGGCTCATTTCATCATCCCTGCTGATGGAAAATTTGCCAGGTCAGGAGACAAAGAATGAAGAAATCACCCTATCATGTTGCCACTGCAGGTAGCACAGCTTTCCAATATAGCCACAGAGGTGCAGTCTGAGAACTTTGTGGGTGACAGGTGTCACCTTCCCAAACCCAGGCTGACTGGTAATACACCAGTAAAGGTCAGGTGTTTTCAGGTTTCTTATAGCCGAGGCAACCTTCTTGGTGCTCAGTGACACTGGTGATGACTGTCTTCTGTCCCAGAGAGGAGCTCCTTCTCACAAACCCTGGGGAACAAGGAGAGGGAGTTGATGACTTCAGTCAGTACCAAACATTTCCATCAATGCTACCAGTTGTCCTCATTAGCTCAGTGCCCACATATATTGCCTCTGCTGCCCCAGAAGAAAACAAAAGCTGTGCCATGCAGGGATCCTTCACACTGCTGTGCGGCTGTGACCAGGGAAGGGCTGCCTGCCTCCCTGCTGCTGCTGCAGCTGTCCAAGGGCGGCTTAAACACTGCGCTGCTCTTGCACAGCAGAATTGCTAATTGCAGTCCAATGCCTCTCTGTGAGGAAATTTTCCATGAAAAATGGCTGATCTTGGAAAGGGAAAGCTATACTTCTAGAGCAGCCCACTCTGGAAGCCACCTCCAGGAACAGCACATTGCCTCTGAACTAACATTTCATGTGACACAGGACGGGCAAGATGCAGGCTGGATGCCCAGTCAGGCTGCTGAGACTAGGCATAATGCCCATAGTTCAAGGCAGGAAAAAAAAATAAAAATCCACCCAAACAAAAATCTCTCTGCAGTGTAATCTTTCTGATTTGAAATGACCACAAACGTGCTCTTGAATTAGCTCAGATCTGTTCTTTCAGGTAATTATATTAGTGATCACAGTGCTGAAGTAAACATAAATGAAACTCACTCTTTAATAGTGTGGGCAGACTCTTTGGACCAATAAAAGTATCTGCAAATAGCCACAAATCGTTGGAAGTAAAGGGCTCCTGGAACTGCTTCTTTGCCAGCTCACCCTTATTATTGCCTACATGAATGAACTGTGAAGAACTCATCAGTTCAGCTGCTTTTCTTGGCTCTGTGAATAAGATGATATCCATGAGAACCAAGAAGACCTTTCATTTGATCTGTCATCTCTAAAGAAAGGCAATCTGGATTTCCTACAGAATACACATAGGCCATTTTCATTACCCATCAGGATACTCATGAGTGCTGCACCACAAGCACAACCTCACAACCTCGCTCGTTGCAACCACTTCTCAAACTGGCTAGCAGTGTTGGACATGTTTCAATTCACTAATGAGCAATTTTTCTGCTCACAGCCATGAAACCAGCAGGGAAAAAAAAAAAAAAAAAAAAAAAAAAAAAAAAGGAAGGATTCCTGTGTATAAAAAAAGCTAATGGCAGGTGAATAAAATACTTAAGATCAGAAAAGACACAAAAGAAGCAGCTTTTTCTTAATTTTCAGAATTAGATTATCTCAAGGCAAACACTTTTTCTGTATGCTGTATCATTATTGCTCATTCATGGGAATTTGAATTAACAAGTTGAAATAAAAAAGGGTGAATTTAGGTTTAATGGCCAGCAAATGTCAGTGTAATAAAATGTAAGAAGCTGTGCATTAAGCAGACCATCATCTACAGGAAAGATGCCAGATTTCCCTAATTTAATCTACTGAGTATGTGTTGTGTTAATCCAAGTGACAGGTCAATGTGCAGTTTGAGTCAATATAGGGATCTGTGCATTATTCCCCAAAGTGTTGTTAAATCATTAAAAAAAAAGATCAGCATGCAGGTCACAATCATAAGTAAGATAGGATACACTGCAAATAATCTCAATGCAACTACAATAAAGAATATTTTTTGTTTGTGTTCTTTTTGTTTCTCTTTAGGGTGGCAAAAATTATTTTCCTAGACTTCAAACTAAACAAGAATAGGAACTGAAGAATATCCACCAGAGAGTGCTTTAACCTGCTGCTTCATACCTGAAAGTGATATTTCTTCCTTTTAGTCTTTTTCTTTGAGAAGCAAAGTCTTTATCAAGAGAAGCACATTTATTAGAATAAAGTTTGAAAATGTTCTTCTTACATAGGCCAGTATAACTTTCTCTACAAACATGAGTTATAATAAGAAATGAAGCATTGCAAAATGAATTCCAAAACATATTGCTTTTATTTTCTGTTTGCTTTTTGTCCCCCAACATTTTGTAATGAATGACAATGTGACTTGGATCTCATTTCTTATATCCCATTTTTCACTATTTATTAAAAAATTGCTATGTTATTACAAAGCAGGTTAACAATTTGGACTTTAGCTACATAATGATAATCTCTAGAGGAAGAAATAAAATACAGAAAAACAATGCAGTGAGCACGTAAATGCTGGAATCTCTAGAGAAAAGCTATTTTGCTGTCAACAAAATGAGAACAAGTTTCCAAAACCAGCTTAGACTGAAAAGCCAGATGATTTCATGTTTTAGTTTTAGCATGTATCATTGATCTCTCTTTCTCTGTTGTTCTATGCAGAATTTACATCTTTATAAGCCTATTTTTGAACAAAGAGATCTTTTTCATTTATTTATTTATTTATTTATTTATTTATTTATTTATTTTCCATTGAGTGAACCTGGATGTTCCTTGGGATCTCTCAAATGACTGCTCTGGATGCTCTACTTCTGGTTTCATGACTAACTAGCATTCTTCTATTTCTGCTCTGCTTTTGTGTTCAGGCATATTCTAGAAAGTAATCAGAAACTCTGGAACAAAGAAATATGCAAAAGCATAGTGAGAGAAATTATCTTTTGAAGTATGGTGTTTGCATTGTCTGTGACAAAATTTGATTTACTGTCCCGAGCCATTATCCCCTAAATTCTGTGCCACCTCATATGCCTGGACATAATCCAAATAATGACTGGATCAGACTGTGACTGTTTTCACCTCATGGGTGAAAACATGGATTGCTCCATAGTCTATAGGCTATGTATATGCCAGTAGTTATCAGTGACCTGAGGAAACGTTCCTGGACCTTGGAGCTTTGAGTCTACAGAAGAGATAGACCCCTGACCCAAGCCAATTATCACTCTCCAAAAGTTTCCAGAGCTGATCTGGAAATTAACACAGGCCAGCAACTACTCAAACACCAGTTTGCATGCATCCCTTATTCCGGATGCCAAGAGAATTTAACAGTTTGGACATGGACTGTTACAGTGCCAGTTGGCCTCAGCACTGGAGAACTTTCTTGCAGCCCTGTTTGATCCGGTAGTAGCAACACAGTCTGGAGTTAAGCCTGCCCAAAGCAGAAAATCTATTGCTGAGTAATAAACTGTAGCTGGCTAACATGACTCATTGTCCTTCTTTCACTACAGTGATAGGCTTAAAGGAAACCTCAACTCTTGTTTTACATTCCTCAAATCACCCAACTTTCTTCATCTAAACACAAAGACATTTAAAAACATGTAACTAACTGTAGCTCTAAAGATGTAAGAGGAGGCTGGAACTGGGTTTTTATTTTTTCCTCTTGGTGAATATATAATGAGAAAGAGAGCGAGAGTTCATTTCCTGCTTATGCTGTCCAAGGTAGATTTGGTGCGTATTGGTTGTACCAGAGAAAAATAAAGATGCATAAAATGGTGACTTATATTATGTGATACTAACAACATTTTTTTTTTCTTCATATAAAGCGCAATATTTATTCTACTCCAACATTTCTTCATATTAGCTCTTTCAGGGCACAACTGATGAATTTCTGCTGTGCCTTCCAAATCTAATATTGCTCAGCAGCTTACTGAGTTTAGTTCAGAACTTCTTTGATTCTTCTGAATTATTCACACTATAGGAAAAAATGTATTTTACTAGGCTGCTAGATTGTTATGCATTTATAAAACTCAATTCTGTTTTATTTACCCTGATGCTTTAGTAGGAGAACGTGGATTTTAAACCAAGCAGAATGCTTGATAACGGAGAGAGAAAAGAGACAGGAAAGTAGGAAGGTCAATACAGATGTGGGCTCTGTGCACCACTTCTCCTCTCCAAGACAGAAGATCAAGGAACTTATCCTATGGAGGAAAAGGGAAGCGTGAGACCCGAGCAGTACATTCTCTTGAGCCTCTGCAACAGCAAGAGCAAAATAAGCAGAAGTAGCTTATTTTGCACAAACTTTTGGAATTCAAATTTCCAGCCTAAAAAATGTCCCAAACCCAAAGACAATGTAAATTAAATCAAACATTTCCTTTTCATATCAACTTTCCATAGGAAAAAAAGTTTTTTTTTTTTTTTGTTTTTATTTTTAAGTGTCTTGGGGGAGGGGAGAAAATCTTTACCAGATTTTTAGTAACAGATCTACAAGACACTGTTTTAATCTTTGATGGTATAATTCAAAGAAGATAAGCAGCTGTTGCCCTCCACCTTTCAGAGCTCTACAGATACACATGGACATGTGGACCTGATTCAGAAATGTGGCAAATCGTGTTCTTAGTGCTTCTACAGATGGAGTCTTCTATGGGATCAAGGTAGTGGCCTGTGTGCTCAAGCCACAGCCCAGAGAGAAGACTGCAGCACATGCTACGATTGTGACAATTGTACATCACTCTGTGTGACAGGCCATTAATCAATGCCGAAGTCCTACTGGCAGAGTTTGTTTTCCTGGGAATGATTCAGGTTCTTTTCTTAAACTCACAGGCTGTGAGCTGCATCGAGCTATTTTCATCCTCATGGATGCTCTGATGGAAGTCCTCGCCATGTCCTCAGTCTTCTCCAGCTCCCAGCTAATTAGGTCTTACTGGTGGCTTTCAGAAAAGGATGCAGGGGTACTTCAGAGCATCTTGCAACTATTACCACCTTGACAGCTCCCCAGACTTGTCCCACTGTCTTCAATACTCTAAGTGGAAGGCTTAAAAGCTTTTATTTTGAAATTCTGCCTTTGAAACCTCAACGACCCGAACGCGTCCAGGTGGCCTGGCGGTACACATATGACGCCTCGGCTCCCGTTGTCATCGAGCTGTTCAGCTGCATCCTCTAGGCGTTGTCCGCACGCTCTTGCTTCCTGTTTGGAGTTTTGCTGATGCGTGAGGTTGTAGTTCGCCTTCCAACGGGCCAGTAAGCCCCCCTTTAAAAAAAAAAAAATAAAAAAAATAAAAAATTAATATGATTATAATAATGATGATGGTGGTGGTGATGATGATGTGATGGTGATGATGATGATAATAATGAATTAATCAAAGATAAATTGAGCCTATCTACTGGTTCTTTGCTTTTTCCAAGCCAGCTTGGTGGGTCTTCCAACCCACGGACCCCAGAAGTTCCCCAGCTAGGTTCCAGAGAAGCTGACTCCTTTTTTTTACGGCCAGGACACCCTCCTCAGCCCCGCCGTACCCCCTCCATCGGCCGCACTCCCCGGCTGCCCCTTACCGGAGGAGGCAGCGGGCAGAGCCCCCCTCCCACCCCGTCCCTCCCCTCGCACCTTTCGCAGCTCCCCGGCCCCTGACGACCCCCGGCCGTGGCTCGGGTCCCCCCCTCAGCTCCTTCCCCCGCCGCGGGGGCGGCCGCTGCTCCCCGGGAGCCCTTTCCTCTCTCCGTCCCTATGCAAATCGCACCCCGCAGCAGGAAGTAGGCTGGCGGGCTCCCGGCCAAGCGCCGGCACCGGGGCCAAGTTCCCTCCGCCGGCTTCAGCGCCCGTGTCCCGGCCGGCGGGGCAGCAGCGCCGCGCTCCGCAGCCCCCCCGCCCCCGGCCCCCGGCCCGCGGAGCCCCCCCGCAAGACCCCCGGCGACTTCACCCGCCGCCCACCGAGCCCCCGCACACGGCGAAGTAAGTGCTTTCGGCGTCCGTCCGTCCTCCGTCCGTCTGTCCGTCCCGTCTGAGAGCCCCCTCCCCTGCCGCCCCCACCCCGCAGCCCCCCGCAGCGCCGCCCTGAGCCGGCCCGTCCCGCACGGAGGAGGAGGAGGAGGAGGAGGAGGAGGAAGAAGGTGGCTCATGGGCGCCGGGCAGGCTCCGGGGGTCGGTCGTGGTAAGGGGCTGCGGCGGTGGGGGAGAAATTGGGAGCGCTGGGGGATGCCTGGTGCCCGCCCGGGAGGTGCTCGACCCCATACAGGGGGTGCCCGGTCCCGTACAGGGGGCGTTCGGTCCCGTAAAGGGGCTGCCCGACCCCACCGGGGGATGCCCGACCCCATACAGGGGGTACGGGGCGCGCTGCGGGCGGCTCTCCCCCGCCGAGCAGGGGGCACTGGAGGGGGTCTTCACGGGAAAAGCGGCATTAGAAAAAAGAGAAAGAAAGAAACCCGCGGTTATCGTCCTCAAAATGAATGATTCACCTCTTGCTGCTCTTGCCCGGCTTGCGTTGGGATCTTCAGGGCTTCTGAGTGTGCTGTGCTGTGTCAAATTAACTGGTCCGAGGCTGCAGTCGGTGTCTCAAGCCAAGGAAGCAGCCTTGGTTTACTGGTTGTTCCTCGTTAACTGCTTTTCCTAGGGGAATAGCTCCCGGAGCATCTTCCAAGTTAAAGCAGCTTCCTCCTAACTGGGTGCTCCGATGTGCTTCGGCTTAAACGAAAGAGCAAACGGCCTCGTGGTGTTGCCATAATGATGCTGTATGCCCAAGGAATGGTCGTGAGGGGTTTCCTCCTAAGTTTCATTAGGAGGGTCTAAAAGCCAGGCTGGATCTCCGTAGTGGATGCCACACCTTCAGTAAAGCCCCTGCATTTGGGATTTCTGTTGAAATTGCATCTTGGTGTCTGCAGTAAATGGGTTTGCAAGAACTCACCTCGCTGCTTCACTGACCTCTGTTGGCACTAAAGACCGAAGAGATTAACACTTTAAACTTGTTTAGCCAGATCATTTGGATATACACAGGGAGCACAAAGGTTCTTGTTCTATTGTTTAATTTGAAACCCGAAATCAATGCCTCATCTCTTTCCCACCTCTGAAAAAAGCCCAATCTGACCAGTCTTATTACAGCATGCTAAAACCAGAGCTGGAAATGACCTGAAAGACCTTCGTAGTTTAGATATCTTGATGTTAGTTGCAATATCTGTAAAATACGGTAAATAATTCTATACTGATCAGCCTATTACTAAAGATTTAGATTTTATTTTCCTTAAAAAAAAATAAATATAAAAATGTTGGGCAGTTACAAAGTTATGTTGGGGAAACATGGCTTGGTTTTGTCCAAGGGGTAGTCAAACTGTGTGAATTGCTTTCAGCCCAGTACTGAATACACAATAGGTGTTGCTTACATCTTATGACAGGACTTCATATCTTTATAATGTGTACTGCCATCAACACCGAGAGTGTGGATGAGAAAAATCATACAGTTTTCTCTGAAAAAGTAGCAACCAGCTAGAAATCAGTTAGATACCCATAATAGGATGTTATGAAGTCTTGGGCAAGGATGAAAAATTAGAGAATTCTGGTATCTACAGCTTTCTCATTCTGTTTCTCTCCGTCCAGATTTGTAGCATTTTTCTTTCTCCGTTTCAGCTTTGTGAGCTACAGACTAGAAATGAATTCTTGCTTTAATAACATGAAGTTCTATTTTAATTGTATGCTGTTGAGATACTTTTTAAAACCGTAATGGTGTAGAATGAACTTTTTTTCCCAGTACTGTAGCTGGCGGACTTGAAGTTATTCTGCTTTTCTCCTGTAGTTTGTTGAGTAAATAAGGTTTGTTTGTTTCTTTTTTTTTTCCTCTTTTCCCTTCTCTATACAACTGTACAGAGAACAAAGTAAGGCTTACGCCTTTCCTCGTAAGTTCCTTGACTAGTTTGCACAATGACTTTTACTGACAGTGCAATGAGTTATGAAACTTTCGCATATGAAGTTAAACCTTATTGTCATGTAATTATTTAATATCCCTGGCTTTTAATGTTACCCTTTCAAGGGAGTTTCCATAAATGTGATTTTTTTTCTTGCATATATTTAGGAATGTATAAGAAGCTCTTTCATATACTGTTTCCCTCTGTTTTATCTATATCATTGGAGTGAGCTGTCTTCCTAGTGACCTTGTTGGTTCTGGTAAGATAAATAGCATCACGCAGCAGCAGGCATTCTGGGAAGAAATTCCTAAAACATGCAAAGAAAATAGTCCAAGGCCCTCCAGGCTCAGCTCAGTAGCTGAGCTTCAGTGTGGTGTCTCACAAGACCCGAGATGCTATGCCTGGCCTTTCTTGTGTTGCGTGCCAGTAGCATTTGACCTATCTGTAGCTATTCAGGAAAGTTTAAGAACTGCAGTGTTTAATCTCAGATGCGATTCCATTTCCGTCACGAAAAGATGTTTTCCTATCTGTACTTTGCATGTTATTTGGAATCTTAATGAACGTCTTTGAGGTTTTTGAGTGGAAACTTACTGACCATGAGCCAATTTTTATTTTTGTCAAAGGGCTAGGTGATCTGAGGAGGGAACAAGGTCTTTCCTTCTTTCCATATGTGCATATGCTGAGTAAAGGGCAGTAGTGACTTTATTTCTTGTGTTCAGGGAAAAGTAAAGCCAGTTTTACTCTTGGGGTTAGGGAGTTCTTTCTGAAGGCAGCTCTTTGCAAAACAGGTTGAATCCAGAAAACGAGCAGATGAGGAACAATGTGAAGGTTTAAAGAAATTAAGAGGCAGGGGGCAGTAGGTATAGAATAGGATCCTTAGCACTCTGACTGTGGTAAGCATGCATGTGCATAGAGTTGCCTTTCCATGGTACTAGTGATCCCTAAAGCATGTAAAATGTAATGCAGTAATGCAAGGGACAAGAGGCGAATCTGTTGGCTGTGAATCTTCAGGGTTCTGTGGAGTGGTGATACCTCCTTATAGAGCTATGGTGCTGGATATGTACATACTTGCACAAAATCATGCCAATCCGCTAAGTAGTACTCATTCTTTTACCCTTAAAGCATTTCCATCTCTAAGAGCAGCGGCTTTCATTCTGTAAATTGTTGCCAGCTAACAATTAGATTTATTTTTTTCTTCCAGATCATATTCCTACTTCTGTCAATTACCTACTGCTTAATAACTTGTGTCACCTCTTTCATGCAAGTGTAAGAGCGCTAAAGATAGCGTAGAGGGAAAGACTTCCCGACTTACGAAGCCATGTCACAGGAAACTATGTAGATAAACAATACAAAATTACATTTGTATGGAAACAGCCTTTCGTGAAGCATACAAATAGGAGGAGACCATCGTACTATAAACAGTAATAGTACCTTCTCAAAGAAATTAGTTCCTACTAATAAAAAGCAAATACAGTGTAGCTGTCCTTATTGTGTATGTTCCTAGTTTAAATGGCAGTCGTCCATCAGGGAAGGGTGGAAAGGTCTGTGCTTTCTTATTTGTTATTGTCTGATGCAAATACATTTCCTGTTGACGTTGTCATGATATGGTATAATTTCTAAAGATGAATCTGTCATGGTAGGGTTTGGCATCTTTCCTGAAAACGTGGGCTGATGGGACAAAATGTAAAGGCAGAATTTCATCTTGTGTTGGAAGCGTCTTCTCCAAATACTTATGAAATGGTTGCGTTTGTAGTGTATCCTAAAGAACTGTTCCTGAAGGTGAACAGATTGGTTATTTCTGCCAACTGGACATCGGGAGAGGGATGGTATTCTGACAGTAGTGGTTATCTGAGGGGGGGGGAGGAGGACATGAAGGAAAGGTGAAGGGTGTATGGGTAGATCCCATTTCTGTGGGGGAAAAATGGAAAATTGGCACTACTCAGGCCAATGTTTGCTGTACCCTGGGGGAGCAGTGTCTATCTTTCTCCAACTGCTGGCATCTTAAGTATCTCCAATTGGTTCCTGTGTTTGCACAGCTTACTATCTTACCCACTCAGTTCAAAGTACTAAAATGATAAACAGTCTGAACATTTTTGCATGTAGCATGAGGCTAGTTCTTCCTGTCTAAATTGTGGTTGGTATGTCAAAAAATTTGTTACTTAATTTGCAAGGGCCTGCATTTTACTTTGCACGTTCTTCTGACCAAGCCCTTTCTTTAAACTGCCTGTAATAGCAAACCATGAGGTCTTAAAACTAAAAAATTCAGTAGCTTACCATAGGGGTTGAAGTGTGGGATCAGCTATTCTTCTGGAATGGTGGGTTTTGGAGTTTTCTCTGTTTTAGCAGGCTACTGAAAGTCTGTACGTGATGAAAGCTTGGAAGGAATGGGCCCTCTCTGAGATGTGTTTTCAACTGCTCCTTTGTTGGTGTAACAGAAAGCCATTTCGGGAAGTTCGTCAACAAAAATGTAGCCTGTTAAGTGGGTTTACTGATGTGGTTTCCCTAACATACTGCCTTATTTTACATTTGCTTTTTTAGTTTGTACAGATAAGTGCACACAAACTACTTTTTTTTTTTTTTTTTTTTTTATGGTGATGATGATATCTTACATTAAAGCTTTTTTTTGGGCATAGCCTGTTTCAGACTATGCCCAAGAGGTAGTGCAGAAGTATATTTGGCTGATAAACAGTTTTGTTCTTTCTGTATATGACTCTATTAGGGTATTATAACAGAATTAATATTAAAAGGTAAGAGTATGCTTGAGTGAATTCCTACATAATGCTAACATATCTGTAAGTTAGTAGGTCTGACCTATGACTAAGTTTTACTCTCTCCAGATAAAAAATTATAAATAAGAAAAAAATTCCAAGTAGTATCACCACAGTGGGAAAAGTTCTGAGAAGTAGTGCATCTATTGCACTTACTGAAACTGCTTATTCAGGTATCCTTTAGCAGCATCCTGAGGCTTTTATTCATTATATCCAGTGGACAGAAACTGGTTTCCTCCAGGGCAACCCCAACACTACGTTGTGTTTTGATGTGATTTCAGAACCTCTTCAGTTAGTGCTGAATGATACCCGTGATTTAGGTGTAGCAGATGGAGCTGGAGGACACAGTTAAAATGATTGCCAGCACTACTGTCAGCTCCCCTGAGGAAGTGAAATTTTTTGGTAAACACACAGGAAGGGGATGGGCAGGAGAAAGAGGATATCCTATGTTGGATGTCCTGGGTTCAGTTTGTTCAAAATACATTGCGAGAGTCATTTCAGTGTGTAGCTGTGGGGTAGCGAAGTGTGCAAATGGCATTTGAAGTACATTTCTACAACTACAGACCCACCAGTGCCAGAGATCTACTAGCTTATGCAAAGGCTGGATAGAAGCATTACAGCCTGGCAGGGTTGTAGGAGAACTTGCCTTTTAAGCAACTGTCCCACTTTATTGCTAGCGTGGCACTTTGTCTTCCTTTTTCTGCCCTGCAAGGTCTTTGTGCTGTCTCCGCTTTCTAGCTGTGCTTGCAGTAGCTGGGAGAGATACCGAAGCAGCTCTCCTGACATTGGTGAAGGAGCTTCTGGGCTATGATAAGGTGGATGCTAAGCCCATTTCTCTTGGCATGTAGACAACCTGATGGATAGCTCCTACAAAGCAGGCAGCAGACAGCAGTACTCCAACTAGGCCCGATCAGGGGAGCTTGCCTCCTTTAGAAATCTCCCTCTTAATTTGCTTGGTAACAATTCCAGTCACTCTGCTGTGACATTTACCTGTGTGTCTGAAGTCTTAGAGTCACACTGCTTTGAATGTTTCCATTAGTAATAATGTGCTGTCTTCCTTTTTCTTTTTTGCCCCTATTTCCTGGGAAAAGCAACATTTCAATCTTTGTCCTGCTGCAGTACTACTGTCTTCCTACTGCAGCTTCCTTTTTTCTTCTTTTATTCCAACATTATTCTGTTGTTGCTCTCCAGCTTTGCCATCAGGACTGTCAGTGGTTTAAGTCATTTATTTCACCGCTTGATTTAGATCTCTCTGCAGCAACTTTTTCTTTTTCTCTTTCCACAAAACAGGCATTTGGAGCATAAGCTTTTGTAATCTGTCTATGCTACCTTATCAGGGAATGTGTGCCCAGAAATATGTACCTCCAGCCTCTTGGAGAGGTGTAAAGTCCCATAGCGTACCAGCCCGGCATTACTCAGGTTGTTTTAATAAGCCTCCTTAAAGTGCAGCTCTGTACTTTTCT